ATATACATGCCAGCACCCTTGAACAAGTCTCTGGAGGCTAGCTGGGAGACCTAAGCCGTGGTCACGCGGGTGACCTGTTAAAAGGTCATGAGTCCTGCGCTGTATGGATCAATGCTTCCAGGATTGGATGCAACACTATGAACATTTGAAAAGGGATCGGCCAGGACACTCAGCTGCAAAGACAAAGAGAGAAATTTCCAGAGCCCGGCCGTATGCCACGTATGCGAGAAGAAGACCTGGCGCTTGCGCCGCGCCCGGGCTTCACGCGACATGGTGAAACAACACCGGAAGACGGGGGGCACGGTCCGCCAGAACTGGCGTGCTGGGACGGACGAGTCACATTCATCCTACCCACAGGCTTACCATGGGGACCATCGACCAGCCACAGGCGTCACGTGGCATTCACGGCAACGTGTTGGAATCGCTTCAGCCTCGAGGTCCACAGCGTGAAAGAAGAAATCGAACGGATCACCCTGCAGTTGAGTGGGTCCATCCCGAACTCCAAATAGGATGCTTGAAATATGTTGAAATATCATCAATAGATTCTATATGACTCTATACACAGCATTCATTGAGCCTCACCACATCTGAATCGGTTCTGGGTTCCTTGCGACCTGCTCCCCACGTGTCATCGCGACCGGCCTCATATTCCTCCACGGGACATGACCGATTCCTCAGAGTATACGGCACGTGAGCGGGCGGTTGAAAAACCGCCTTCTGAGAAGGTAGGCGGAATTGCTTGGGGTGAAAGAGAGGCCTACCCCAAACGCTCCATGGGACTGCCACATATATATATATATATATATGCCGCCCCATTGGCCCCCGAAACCACCCCGTCGGCATATATGGCAGTCCCATGGAGAGTCTGGGTACTGCATTGGTTCCTGGGGCTGGGAAGACACCCAAACATTTCAGGACTGGGAGGGGGCGACGATGAAAAAAACAATATTAACACCCAACACTCAACGTGCCCGCACAGCGCCAGTGGTATGTGGTATTGGTCAAGCAAGATACCAATGGTACAAGATGGCACAAAACAAGCATAGACAAGCCAAACACCGTGTTCATCCATTTTCCCCAGGTCGATCTTGATCTGGTCGAGCCCCTGGCTCATTCCAACATAGTCACACCAAAGAGTAACATGGTGCTTCCAAGTCCAGCCAGCATCCCCCAGTATCATCTAACCTCCCCAAATATCCCCCAATTGGATTGTAACACCTCTGCATTTGGCGACTCGACCTCAAATCCAGAATCGCGAGGAACCCTCTCGCGCCACCTGGCCCAGCCCCCCCCAGCAGGGCGCCCAGAGTCCAAAGCTTCAACTTCTGCTCCACGGGCATGTCCAGCGGGGAACGGCGCCACAATCGGCCAACCCCCCGCAAGGTGCGGCTCAACGGCACGGCACGCATGATCTCCTGGGGAAACAACCCGGTGGGATGAGAGTGGTCACGAGATGCGGAGAAACAAGCACTCCCCTATGGATCCACATACCGAACCTGAGGCGATTGGAGGCTATTTATGTAGTCTTGAGCCCAAATACCTTCTGAGAAGGTATGTGGATCCATAGGGACTAAATGCAATCCTGATATGCGGTAGAGTTTGGGACGACGGTGTTTGCGGGTGTTTTTTCGGTTTGGGCTTCTTCTGGGTGAAACGGCTGAACCAACTGACGAAAGGATGAAGAACCATCCCATACAATCCCTGAATAGATGCCCTTTCCCAGGCCATCCAGGTGACTGGAATTGTTATATAACCCGTACACACCGTACCTCAGAAGGTACGACTAAGCTCGACCCAGGCGCCTACATCAATAGTCTCAGTCCTCACCGTACCGACCTGGTTCGGTATGCCCCGTTTGGGAGCAAAGTATAGTATCGTCCGAGTCTGGACCATGCCATCCACGTAACCATGTGTGAGATGTGTGAGTCAGGGTGTAAGCAAATCTTCCAGACGACGGATTGTTTGTAAAGGAACGTATGTCTTCCGAAATCGGGACCATGTCATCCGCTTCCATGAGATGTCGACTCAACATAGTGGTCTCACACTGGGCTCACAGTCGCTAAAGATCTACAGGACGGTTCCTTTGGATGGACACCCTCAATTGGCAGAAACAAAGAATGCCAACCAGAACAACAAGCTTCCCAAATGCTACTCAAGATCGTGTGGCCTCTCTGGAACATGACGGCAGTTGATTGATAGGAGCATACTTGATTGGTCTTCCGGGGACCTCCCATCCGGTCTGGGAGGCAAAAAGACAAACAGTCCCACACCAGTCGATGGAATCTCGGCCTTGAAAGGAACCCCAGCGGCCAAGCGGGTCATAGCGGGTCCTTGTCGATGGTGAGCTTCCTCTCAAGCAAGTGGCCCCGCTTGATCTTGCTCACTGTCCGATCCTCTGCGTCCACCCTCACCTGCGACCAACGGCCCTCCTGGAGGTGTTCGGAGGGGTGCAAGGTTCCCGCGGATGAGAGCGGAAGCATTCGGGTGAGTGAGAGCAAATCAAGAGAGCATGGCTGCATATGGCTGCATGTAAGTACTATATATAGTTAATCCTATGATCCTACAGTCCAGCTTGGGCATCAATGGTGGCTTGAAAGCATGCTTCTTCAGCTGCTGCACACCCCACCGCACCGAGGATCCTATATTACACATCCGATGTTTGGTCAAGTGCTTGGCTGTGGGCTGTGGGCTTGTCAACATCTGCACCACGAATCCAAGGGACACAAGTTCAATCGAGAAATATCTCAGAACTGTCAACACAAATTGCAATATTTGTTTGAGATTTTGACATGCCTACCTTTCAATTACAATTGCTGTGGTTGAACATGGCTGGTTGACAACAAAATACTGTTGCAACCCAAGAGCCAAACTAGGAGACCATGCTTTCAGGAATTCTGCCTGCTCTGTCTGATGAGGATCTACTTCAGCGGCACTGGTCGCTTTCAGATTTATCGATGCTCCTGCTACTAGTAGCTTCTAGCTACTAGTACTTCTAGCTACTAGTAGCAATGCACTTGCTCCTAGTAGCGATGCCCTTGTTACTAGTAGCGATGCCGATGCCCCTGCTTTCAATCAGGATCCAGAACCCGGCAGCATGAAATCTGCTTTCGACCGTGTATAGGCCAATCTGCCATCCTCTCTTCTACGCATTGTCTTCGTTTGCGGGTTAACTATGGTTAACTGATGTCCAAAGGGAAAAACAAACACGTGGTTCCTCTCCTTGAGTTTGAGGTGGTGGGAGTTTGAGGTTGACGTGCCGAGGCGGCTTTGCCTTCAGCATTTGTGGGGCGTCGTTCTCATGGTCAGCACCCAAGTTGGACTCAATCGCATCCTGAGCATCACAGCACTTCCGCGATGCGTAGCACGGTTCACTCACGTCGACCAGGTACACTTCATGTGTTTGGGGAGGTGAAGTGGCCCTCGCTCGATCTTCCAAAAAGATTACACCGTTCTTCCTCTTTCCTCGGATCTGTGAAGAATCTCCTTCCGGAGTATGTCCCGTCGATCACGCCTTCATGCTTGGAACTCACCAACGCAACGAACCGTGAGGTGATGAGCTGAAGTGGAAAGCCGGTTTTGGGGCGGCCCATCGACTCGCCTCACGCGAGCCAGTCCGTTTTGGGGACGGCCCGCTTCGGATGGCCGTCGGTCTGTGCTGTCTGCGCCTCCGTGGTCTCTATGGGCTCCACGGGCTTCCTTGGCTGAGGGGAGTCGTCTGGAGCTTGAGAAAGGATCTGGAGAGATTGAAATGCCCACAACTACGGCAAGTCACATGAAACAACCCTTTGGTGGTGCTTCATGTTTGACATCAAAACTCGCCAGAATACGCGAGCTTTCACCATCCCCCACCAAAAACGTGTTGAACCGTGGGCCACATCCCAAGTCCTGAAAGAAATCTCCCAAATCCTCACCATCCAACACCCTTCAAAAACATGTTGAAGCATGGCCACATCCCACAACCTGCAAGAATCTCCCAAATCACTCCATTCCGGGCGTCACTTCCTCATGGTCGCAGCTCTGGCAACTCGGCGCTAGGCCCATCGGCCAACAGCGGAGGCTGAACGGCCTATCAGGCCTTTTCCCCCATGCGGTGCTGCCGTGTGGGTCCCAAAGGGGCGGCGGAGCGCGATGTGTGTATTCCCCAGGCACCTCATGGGGCCTCATGATGCTATCTGACTCCTGCAGATACCCTGGGAAAGTAACAGTTAACCTGTTTTTCGACCTGTTCTTGTTTCGTGGGGCATCCCCACTCCCCCAAAAAGGTGAAAGATGCTAAAGGTTTTTGTCCACTGACTGGGTTATACCTACATTGACACCCTTTTTCCAACACTTGAACCTAGGTCACCCCCAAACAGGTCATGAAAGGGGGTCACTCGGTCGGGATACGGATCGCTGAGGATGGACTTAACTCCATCAGTTGCAATCCAAAGAAAGTCCAATGCGCCCGTATATCAAAGGGTCACTGCCATATGGGTTTGTATTTTTTTAAGGTTCCCGGGCTGGGATGTTTGACTATGGGGTATGCTTCGGAGGTATGCTTCGGGGGTATGCTTCGGGGTATGCTTCGCGCAGTGTGAAGACTAAAGTAGTAGCATTTCCAGAGGGTATGCTTCAGGGTATGCTTCGCCTAAGTCGAACATCCCAGCCCTACATAAACTGGACACCTTAAAAAAAGATAAGCCCATATGTTAGTCAGGTTTTTACCGGTGTCCGGCACAGTGAAGAAGTGCTGTACGCACAACCTCCAAGTGGGATTCTAAGACTATATAGTCACAAAAACATAGAAGTTGCAAACTCGGATCTTTTTCAGCCGTTGCTACTTTCCAAAGTGCCACACGGGCGCAACACCACAAGGAAAACCCAGAGTTGCGGTGCCCTTTTGGATCTTGCCATGGAAGCTTTCGAAAAGTGTGTAGGATGTTTTTTGGAGAATCCATTTGCCAGTTTGTTGCTGTCTTCTCATGGACAGCCATGGCCATGCCATGCCCCCCATCGCCATCCTTCACCACTGCAGCACACAACTGGAAGCGTGGAGTCACATTGCGTCCAAGCACCACCAGGTCCCCTTGCCTGAGCAGACACGCTTTCTCACTGCAGATATGTGGATTTAGGAAACGCCCACAGTAGGACTGTAGTGATGTGGCTGAAAGGCAGGTCCTATGTGGAAGTCGCTCTATGGATGGCTAGCCCATGGCTTAGCTGTCCGGAAGAAGAACCCGCCCTTGATCGCCTTTGACTTAAAGTTGAATAAGTAGGAAAGGAAAGATCTTCCAAGCCACTCAGGGATCTGGGAGCTGTAAATGTGACCGGAATCTCCTCCGGGTGACAACTCCTCAGTGGCCGCGTCGCTTCCCAAAACCTTCCCCCAGACGGAGGGATCTGGCGAAATCAACATCCCTAGCCTTCAAAGACCATGACAGATCCTTAGAAAAAAAAAACATATGGTTCTTTGGTAAAAACATGCCAACACCCTTCAAATAAAGGTGGGCCAGAAACTCCAGGGACACCCATCACCCGGAAGGCAACCCCTTCAGACATTTGATGACGGGGTGGCAAGTAGGGGTCAGCATCCCGTCATCTTAAAAGCCAAGACATGCCAGTCACTCACTATGCGAACCTATGAGGGCGGCAAATGGGGTGGACCAAAGAATAGCACGCCCAAACAGGAACAACATTCACATAAAAATGGTAGTAGAGGACAATGGCCTCTTCAGTCCATGTTCCATGTTGGGTTTTGACAGGAAGAGTCCTCACTGGCTTCGGGCCGAAAAAGGGACTGATTTTAGGGTCTGTCCTATTACCAACAAATATGCAATAATTTATTATGATGGTTAGATATGGTTAAGTTGCAGGCCTTGTTCCAAAAGCAGTGATAATTTGACATTTGATAATTATTTACTGACTGCTACAGGTAAGGACGGACAAACCCAAGACTGATTGCTCAACCAAGCCTCAGGGATTGGGTGCAGCATCTGCAGTCCCGCCAGCCCCGAGTTCGCGTTGGTGGCGCTCGCGGAGTTCGCGCGAGGGGAGTCATCATCCACGCTGATGATCGAGGTGGACTTACAAACCTCAGTGACCGCGGATGATTGGAAGCTCTTTCTCAGGGCCTCGGTGCCCCGCATGGGAAAAAAGGGACGGAACTTCTCGTCTTTCATCAATAGCAATCCAAAATCTTTCGGTAGTATGGGACATGTCTGGATGTCCTGATATATCAAATGAATCAATCATCTGTGGGAAAGGGATCAAACAATGACCATGAGTTGGGCGGAAGTGCCATTGCCGGGGCCACCTCGTGGAATCCCCAACACAGTAGACCCTGGCTACCTCGGTATTAAGTGGAATCCCCAACGCACTAAACATACCCAGACCAGGGGCATTTGGATGGGACAGGGTAAAAGTCCATACTCTAGGCTTCCAAGACCCTTACAAAATGGTTAACCTGGTTTTGATATCCTACTGGTTTGGAGAGCACACCCATCTCTCCCATCCACATGCGGTTTCCGATCTTATTGTTCGAAACAACATGCCAACTCAGAAACTCAGTCTCCTCAACAAAACTGTCCTGTAGTGCACATTCTTAACTGTTTCCAACTACTTGGACCCATCAACTAAACCCAATGCATGAAGACTGTAGAGCACTACAGTATGAGCACCACTTGATACATATTAGACCCACCTGCACAAAACCAACAAAGTCATGCAACTTCCAGCGTCCCAACGATTCGCCAAATCTAATCAATTCTTCAGATTCGCAGCAGCAACTGGCACCTCTGTCCCACGTCGCCAGTCTAGCCAAATCAAACGTGCTGTGCCAAAGGGTTTCCATAGGGTTTCCCTGTCAACTTCATGTGACTCAACTGGAGGTGATCGGAGTCTCTCGACGGGTCTCTCAGTGCGGTGCCGCAACCCAACGAACGACGCCCGGACGTCCGGCTCCCCACAAAACAACATGAGCTGAAGGGCCATGGGGTGTTCTTCCTCCGCCTTGGAGGGAGCCTCCACCAACCTGAGAGCCGTTCCGAGACTTGACTCTTGGGCAAGGAGTCCCCGTGTTAGCAAGGAGTCCCCGTGTAACGATAGCGACCAATGGATATGGATGATGGTTACAGTCTTATCGTGGATTGTTTTAGCTATATGTGCAGAAATAAGATGGCCATTATGCTGGGTTTCCTTCCGTCTAGGAAGCTCTGTAGGTTTGGGGCGGTGCGTCTCTGGTGTTGTTGACCAAACGCAATACTATGGTGCTCATTATGCCGCTATTGGCCAAAGAGACACAAAGATAAAAAGCCTGGAAGATTTGGGAATCTTTTTCGCTTCTAGGAAAGGTACAAGCTTCATGCGACTCAGTGAATCGCAGTGCAAAAAAAGATCGTGCCTGACAGGTGTTTGGACGCCTGCATCTACCTTGCGCGAAATGTCCTCCACATGTATCCAATGATTGGTCCTGTTTGATCCCATGTTTCACACTGCTCGATTGCTCCATTGGTTTGTCAACCGCATTGCAACCGCATTTATTGTAGTACCCAGACACTCCATGTATAGCCTATTTACCTACAGGACTACATTGGAGGTGCCAATGGGGCGGCATATTCCATGCATGGAGTGTCTCGAGATAGGCTTTCAAACGGGAGTTCCCAGGTTCCGAGAAGAAGGTTGGTTCTCATGAGCTCATGTCTTTCGCTCTCCCGAAGTGTGTCCCTGTGGGCGATCTCGTCGAGGCGCCAGGAGATGAAACCCAAAAAGCCGCTGGAGCAGGACTGCGGCGGGCTGGAAGAGGGCCTCGGTTGGTTGGGAGTCCAGATCCAGGATGCACAAAGGAAGTCACACGATCCAGGTGGTTTGGGAGGTGGAGGTCTCTTCCTCTTTTGGTGAAGAGGAGGTAGGACCAAAAGAAGCCTCCCGTCTCTAGAAGATGGCCTGCATTGGGTGTGTTTCTGGGTATAGTGAATCTAGGCTGGCTTACATGGAGCGGTTGGGATTCGTTTGGGGTGTGGCTTCACAGGTGTAAAGCACATTGAACTTCAAACTGTTTATCACACGCAGCTTGGTGTCCCCAGTGGTGAGCTGCTAGTAGAAGTCCAAAGACCATAATAGAGGCCCATTGAAGTGAAGGAATGCGCCAACGAACTTTCTCCCCGTATCCCGTCAATCGTGTGATCACGCCGAACTCGCATGAACATAAAAAGGGAAACTATTGGTGCGCCCACCGATGGTTAACTCGAGAAATGCCGCACATACCCTACAAATGCCATGCAGAATCCATGCTGAAACTGCTCAAACTCTTCCTCCCCGAAACCCATCCTTTCTTTATCCCCAAACGCCGGGACTTCGCCGAGTGACTTCGCCGGGAACGAGCGGAGGTCTACTGGTTTGGAATCCGCCGTGGAGAGCCCTGGAGGCGGCCAGGCTCGAGGCGAAGGGAGTCATGAGTCGAAAAGGAGTGACCAGTGAAAGGAGGTCCATAGTAAGGTCAGCCGTGCATCGAACCCATGCAAACCAGCATCCACTAGATATTTGAAAGAAAAACTGTCCAACAGGAACACCATGCATGGTGAATCAGTGAATCAAACATGGACAGGAATATCGTTTTATGAACAGAATTATGAACTCAGAATTGTTCATAAGGAGGAGATTCATCCACTCATAGAACAGAATGCCTATCTTTGTTTCCATCTTTTCTTGCTCCGGTCCCGCCCCGACTCGTCGGCCTGGTTGCTTGCGCCGGTGCCCGGACAGCAGCGTCACCATCTCCTCGCGCCGTGGGTCGCGTCGTTCCGCTCCCAGCACCCGACCGGTTGGAGACCGGAGACCGGTTGGAGACCGGAGACCGGTTGGAGACTGGAGACCGGTGGTCAAGACTCTACCAGAGATGTGTGTATAATTTACCCATGATTACCCATGTATAATATATATAGAGTACATATCTATTATATATATGTTGGGGGGAAGTGGCTATACGTCCTTTTGATCTATCTTAAATACAACTCAGTGATATTTCTATATATATATATATATACGTGTATTTTTTTACCGTAGTCGGGCCGGGAAGATTGAATAGGTGGTATGATTCGGGGTATGATTCGGGGGTATGATTCGAGGGTATGATTCGCAGATGATTCGCAGCTTTGAAGTTGTATTGTTGGATTAGCTGGACTTCCAGCAGTGGGCCCACTCTGCGCCGAGGCAGTAGGCAAGCAGCATCTGTTGGATGCTGGGCAGACTAGGCAAATGCACTCTTCCACCAAAGACTCCAGTGGCCCTCTGCAGGCCCCACCAAAACAACCAGGATGTGGGATGGGTGGGAGACTGTGTGGAGGTGCGTGATTCGGATACGAATCGGGCATGACTCGGGTGTGATTCGTATGGCCATTAAATTCTGCAAGAGAAGGCGGTCCTTTGGCTCTTCTTCCCAAGGGAGAGCACATGGGAACATTATGAGCACCCCTGGGATGTGAGCCTTTGCTCTTCCCACAAGAAGACACAAACAATTTTGGCCAAATATGGCCAAATTGAGTGCCCATGGACCACACAATTGCAAACGTCATGCACCATTGGCTCATGGACATCTACAAGGCACAAAGACCAACCAAAAACTTCACCTTAACACCTGGTTCTTACGTGTAACGTTTTGAGGGGTATGATTCGGCGCTCAAGTCGAACTTCCAACCACTACATCAGGAAGTACACGCCAAAAAAATACAAACCCATATATACATAGATGGTCTGGATCTTCTAAGGCTCGCCGCAAAGGGCCTGGAAGGTGCCCCTGGAAAACCCTGGTGCGACACGGGTCGACGTCCACCAAGCACGGAATCCGTTTGGTGCCCAAAGTTAGGCACTCCTTTGGAACTGCCGGTTAAAAGAATGCATTCGCAGCATTTCGCAGCTACATTGTTGGGGAGCTATAAAAGTTGCACAAATCAAAAAAAAAGGCACAGTGTTCGACAAAGAAGGCGCTAGGTCAACAAGCTTGACTCTTGCACCAACACTACGAGACCTCACAAGGCCGCTCCGGTCTGCCATACCCAACCAACTGTCCAACGGTCCTCTGATCTCCCAGGTGCAACCCCCCGTAATGTACCCCTCAAAAGGCCCCGTGCACCCACGTTACGCACCCTGTCATGATCCGGCAGCTTCAACTTCGGTGCCAAAGCCGGCTGCGAAGGGGCCAGCGGCTTCTGGATGTAAGGTGACAGAAACCTGTCACGATGCAAACGCCCAGGTCTTCAACGTCTTCTAGCCAAGCAAAACATGCCTTTTGAGGACTCAACGGCTTGGCATGGCTGTGGTATACAACATCCAACCCATCCATCTTCAGAAGGTCTAACCCAAACACTCTGCGTATAGGCATCTTGATGCGACATACATTCGGGTGGTTGCAGGAGTCACTGTAGGTAAACATTCTACACCTGGAGTGTCTGAGTAATGTTATTATATAGGTATATAATCTTGATGAACAAACCACCCCGTATATGCAATGAAGAGGGTTTACAATCCAAATGGGTGCATCAAACCCACTGAATACCAATAAGGGTTGGTGTGGGCGCGCTCAGAGTCGCAAGTCCGTGCATCCAAATGGGTGGATTTTTCAAGGTTTGATTCATCATACACTTGCCGTGTTGACAGGCGCTGATGCTCTCCCACGTAATACCGGCTGGTGAGCCTCTCGGCTTCCCCACTGACCGGCTCATGAACCATCGACTTCATTCCGCGTTTGGGGGAACGTTCCCTCTCCCAAGGCGTTCGCCCACGCTGCCTGGGTTCCAACAGCAAGGCCGTGGCATGGTCTGGGATGGGATCCTGCAGAAATGATGGGATCCATGAACAATCTGGGATGGAATCCTGAGTGGTTCAGGATGCCATCCAGCTCAAGGTATTGGGTGCTGCTTGACGCTGGCTTGGATTTGCTGTCCAGGAGAAGCCGGGAAAAAAGGCAAACACAAAACAATCCCCCATGCCAGGCCTATTCACCGTGATTCTCCAGGAAACATCAACACATGCACCCAACATGTCCGCAGAAACCCCAAACGCTGGGGCATTTGGAGCACCGCGCAGGAGCGCTGCTCGTCCGGTGTTCTTTTGGCGCTCGCCGGACGCCACGTATCGAGCCCGAGCCACGAGCGCCTCGACGGATCGAACCTTGGAGTCGTTGGATCGAACCTGCTAAAGTCGATCCTTGATGTCTTATTCCCAGACACGACCCGTCTATGACTGGCAGTTCGGACTGCGAAACGGCCAGGAGTGGTGGTTGAAAAGGGGTCAAGGAAATCAACTATGGCAGTCCCAGACAGGTCGTGTCTGGGATTTGTACATCTCCCAAACACACTTGGCCTGAAGCTGATCGCTCTTGCATTCAAGGATGTTCAATGTGGGTTCACCTGTGAACGCCCCAAAAACCAGTCCAGGGAGAAAAAGAGAAGCCCTGACGCAGCCTGCTTGAAGGAACAGAGCCCAAAAGCCTGCTTGAAGGTCTGGGGTGCTTCGTAGCTACCGAACACGCTTACTGAACCCATTTCCTAGATATTCTCAGCTCAGTCCTCTGCGATTGGACACGTTTTAAATACCCGGGCTAGCCAGAGGAGTACCAGTGCTCTGCAAGACGTCCAGTCCGCATTGTTGGGCAAAACGATTTCGCTTCTTGACATCTTGCAGGATGTCATCCTTGAGTTTCGACCCGGCTCGATCAAGTTATATAAACTCCACCCCCTAAAACCATCATAGAAATGGAAAATAGTGGAAAGTATAGGGGCCCTTAGAAGACCCGGAGATCCTGGTCAGCTTAATTGAACCGTTAGAGGGAGATACCTACATTCCATACAGACTTGGATTGGCTGTCCAGGAAGCCAGGAAAGAATTAGCAACGATATTCTCCGCGGCAGGGGATTCACCCAGCCAGGGGACGTGTAAATCACCCCGACCCTAAGCAAAACCAGACTGCAACTGACTCGATTCTTTAAGCTTTCATGCAACCAGGATCAGCTGTCACTCCAACCCAACTCCACTCGCATTCCGGATCCTCCAGACGCACGCACAAGGTGAGCTTGTCTTTGCGACCGCTGGTGGGTTGAACGAAGCAAGGATGACCTGAAATCACCAAGCGTCCCGGTGTCAAGCAGTTTCGTGCCATCGACATCGCCGATTTCAAGGAACAGGGGGGCTCTAAACCCTATATCCATGTCGTCCAAGTTCGGCTTCTTCGCATTCCGATTGTTTCCCTCCACAACACCACAGCTGGAGTAACACCGTCGCTTGAGCTCCAGGCCATGTCGTCGATGCTCACAAACATGGACGACGTGGCCATTGAGATGTCTGCCGAGGTCCACCGACGGCGAGGCTCGGGGGCCGAGGTCGGACGGCTGCAGTGGTTTTTAGAGGTCCCAAACGCGACGTGTCTGGGACTGCCATAGGACTGCCGATCAGGCCAGGGCCGTGCCAGGGGGGGTCAGTAGGCATATATTCCAGACATGGAGTGTTTGGGGGTGAAGGTTGGTTCAAACACCTCCCCCCAAAAATGTCCTACAACGTATGGTCATTCACTAAGTGGGGGTCCTAGAACCACCGTTTCAGAAGTGTGGGAGTTCATTTGTCCAACAAATGGTTTATACCATGCTATGCCTGCAGCCTCCCGAAGTGAGTGGACACTGTGCATGCACCAGGTTCACCCACTTCAAGGCCCATGAAAAACAGCCCTAGGGGACCTCCTCAAAAAGGATCAAAAAGGTGTCTGGACCCTCCCCCGGCTATGCAAAAGGTGTCTCCAATCACCCTCTCAAAGGGATTTTGGATCCATAGGGCATCCGACTCTGTGGATTCTCTTGGGGTCTTTTTGAGGTGCATGGAAGCACCTCTCCCTGCCCTCTTCCGCCGCTGCGGTCGTTGAACAAGCCAGCTCCAGCCGCCTCATTTTACCTCGGATCGGACCGTTTCATGGTCGTTCACAATGGTCCGGTCCGGCATTGATGGCTGGGAGGTAAGGAGAAACTGGTTCATATGACTTGGTATTGGGAACGAAGGTCATAGGCCACGGCTTTGGTGTCATCCATCGATAACTATGTGGGATCTGATTTGAACTAAACCGGAAGGAGAACATTCGAATGAAGAATGTCAACCATGCCCCCCAAAGGGGACCCAATTTACCAGAATCAAGAAGAAACACGCTGAGTAACCTTGGAACACGGGGGATGAGCGCACTCGCAACAATTCGCGATGCACCCTATATAATGACTCCGAAATAAGCAGGGCACCTGGAAAAGAGACGGGCAAACTGCCAAATCCTGCCAAAATGTTGGTGCCTGCTAGGGTAAACATATTGGGTTGCACAGAAGTGGTCAAGTCATGCGCTGCTTGACTCTACACTGCAAATGTTTGAATTGGCAATGGCAATGGCAAATCTGCCCTGGTTTAAGAACACACGCAATAGGTCTTAAAATTATTGTTCTTGCTGAGATTTGTTGAGTGAACATGTTCTCCATCACTCCATGTGATTTTCCGTCCCAGCTTCCACTTCCCACCGGTGTGCTTTCTATTCTCAGGTAAGGCGCTACTTTGAAGCCCGCCAATCACCAGCCGGGCTCCGGCACGCCATTCTTTGTGAACCTCAGGGGCGAGGTGAAACGCGTTCCTCATGAGGGAAGCCACAAGCAAACTGGTTATGTGGCTTCCCTCATAACCCCGCCTTTAGCTCAAATCAAGCCTTGCCTCAACATAAAGCCTAACCTTGTTAACCAAAGAACCTGGCCTTTTAACAAGGGGTGCCGTAGTTTAAACTCCTTATTGGGTAAAACGGTAAAACATAGTAAAACCATGTTTTTCGGTCAAGAGTCCAAAGCATTAAATCGACGGTGGGCCAGGAATCCTATGGAAACCAATGCCTTTCGAGGTCTTGGAGGGTTTGTCGAAGCCACTACCCAGTGCCCAGATTGCTTCTAGGGTCCGTGCGTGCCGGGAACCAAGCATCCGCTGATCCAGTGCACTGATGATAGACAACCCAAACCAGCAGGTTTCAGAGCAGTACAGCTTGATCTTTCAGATGTTCGTTCCGCTGGCGCTTCAGCAGTAGCGCAGTCCCCGTGCATTTGAGACTTCGACCTTATCACCTCGAACCTCTCAGTGGTTCTTAAAAGACTTGCAGTGGATTGGGAGTTGCAGCTACGCTGCAGAAGCTCTTGCGAGGCAGTGATGAAGTGATCAAAGTATGCATCTACTTCAGACATGGATGGTCGGGGATACTCACCTGGAAGAAGCACCTCTTTATTCAAGGCCTCAGGCCTCCACCCTCCTCAGATTGTCCATCCCCGGTGCGAGGCATCCACCTTTCATAGCATTTCTACGCCACTCCTACGCCACTCCAACGAGGAGGGCGTCAGAATCCCCGTCCGCCAAGGTGACCACGGCCCAAACCATCCATGGATGGAACAGTTACTTCTATGGATGGGTCAAGTCCCATGGTGCATCATGGTGCAGTCAGTATGTAATGATTCCAGTCCCATGGAGTCCCATCGAGTCCGGAGTCGCCGGCGTTCGGCATGTCTCCAAGCCACTGGCTTCACATCATCCAAGGCCACTTGGCACTCGCCCACCCGAAAGCTGCGCGAGGGGTCCAGCACAGCCACCTCGCTATCACGGGTCGCTCCGTGCCGCTCCCCGTGCGGCACCGCTCCCCGCCGCCCGTCCCCGCAAAAAAGGGAGCCAAACAGCTGGTTGTTTTCCTCCGCTCCTGGTGGGATGTCAGGTGGTCACTGATAAGATCGTCCCTACTAGTATAGGACGCAAACATTTTTTGTTGATTCTGATGGACGAGTTCTGTTGCACCACTCTAGACTCGCTAGATCAATTATACAGCTTACATATATAGGTTGATACCCCGGCTCTTTTGCATCCTGGCTCGAAATCCAAAGCAAAAAAAAAACGCATGTTTCTTGCCCAGAAGCCGTGCAATGGGTGCAATGCTGTGACCCGGTCTCCACCCGGGTGACCACGGCAGCGCAGCTTTGGTACTCAGGGTGCACACCTGGGCGGAGCGGCCAAACGCTCACGAAGCTGCCGTCGTTGTATCTGTACTCAGCGATTTCAAGGGATCCATCTCAACATGAGACCAGGTTGCCTGCGATGCATTTTGGAACCCAGTTGCTGGACCCCTCGGGTCCCCCCGGGCCAGGCCGGATGGTGTAGGCGTGCCTGGGCTATGCCTTGAAAGAGTTAGTGATGGTGAAAAGAAGCAGCCCAGTCACCTCTAGCTTCCCAGTGACCAGTCTCCCCTGGCTTCGGTCACGAAGGGTCCAGCCTGTAAAGGGTCACGTAGGATGGGGCCTCCCAACAATGCCACTGGGAAGGTCCTGGAAAATTCACTGGGAAGGTCCCATCTTTTGAGGGACCGAACTGCCAACAGAAGGGAAAGACCAGTCAGTACAGGTTCAGCACGCATGTACCGGGCATCGGGCAGATTGTGTGTGCAGCATGTTCCTTGGTCTTCGCAAGTGCCGCCTTTTCAGCCACCGGTTCGGCTCTTCATGACCTCCTGATCAGTCCTGATCTCAGCGACTCAGGACCCGATTTCATGCCGAGTGGCCAAAGCCAAAACCCAAAATCACCAAATCTCCTTGCCTGGGCGGGGAGCAGAAATGAGCAAGGTGGCCGGTGCAGGTGGGGTCGGCGGTGGTGTGGCAAGGCTCTGTGGCCGCCCTTCTCGTTGAAGGCAGCTTGAAGGCCATAAGGCATGCCACGGCCACGCTGGCTTCCTCACATCCTTCTCACACACGGCGGGTGGAACCGCCTATTTGGCCACACCCAAAAAGTGCATCTGAGATGAGCGGTTGGCTGTTGGTATGCCTCAAGCTTTTGTGCTGCTCTATTGGATAAAAATGACTCCAAACTCCAAATCTCCCTTATCCAAATCGAGGGTGAATCATGGTGAAACCGGGAATGGCATGTGGTTGGTCCTTCCGTTCGTGAAGCCTACACCTTAAGGCTACCCACACATTACTTCAAGAGAAACGGTGTGTTTTCAGTCATGGACATGGACCCACCCTTGTCCACCATTTTCCCATGCCCTTCTTAATCCCCGAACTCCACATTGGCCGAAGCGGAGCTGGAGCGAACTTCAAAGCGACCGGTCGCGACCGGTCGTTCGAAGGGATCGATCCAGCAGTGGGACGCCGGATAAACCACAACCCTGCGACCCTTCAACATCTGCCGGAAAGCAGGTGCATCGGCGAAGTCATCCCTTTTCTGAGTAGTCATCGTGGTCCTCAACGGTCTCTGGCAATTTAAAGTGGCCAGCATGAACGCCGGGTAGCGAGACCAAAAGCTGCGTTTACTCTCTCCACGTGCAGCTTCTCAGAACACGTCGAACTATATAATAAACCGTTTTTGTTCAACCCTTTTTCGACCCACCCCCCAACAAATCAAACCGTTTTTTCCAGAACAATGGATGCCCTAGCCGCCCCGCCGCCCCCATTTGCCCCGAACGCGTGGCACACCAGGGTGCTCTGGCTTCTCGTTGCTCCGCTTGCACGACTCCCGGGAGGGGCAGAAACCGCCGGCCATCCGGCCGTCGTCCGGCGGGAGGATGATCGATTGGAGCCTGCAACCGGCAACGGGGCAACCAGAAAAAGGGCGGTTTTGACCGCCCCCCCAAGTAATGTAGTGGATGCAAGAATCGCATGGAATGCCAGTAAAGCAAAGTAGAACAAAAAAACAAATATATACATTCAAAGACATTGGATCGATATAAATACCATTAAATACCTCCCAATGGCACTGCATGGATCTAAACAACCTCCCTTTTGGGACGCAGCAGGTATCAAAAGAAGCTCAAGTGTTTCGTGTTCCTGCGCCTACAAAGGCCCGGGAGTTCTTCACGGCGATCAAGGCTATGAAGCAGCGCCTCCACCAAGGAGAAGAGGCCTTGGTCATAGGGCGAACATGCCCATGGGACCATGGTCCATATTTCTAGCCACTTCAGGAGTCTGGGGGGTACAAAACAAGCGCATAGGTTGCACAGGACATCTCTCTTGGTTGAAATCCATACATACCCCCCAGTAGACGCAGCTACCAATGTCTTTTGCAACATCCAGAGTGGACTTCCCCCATCAAGGCGCATTGGGGTCGCTCTTCGCAACGGTTGCCAAGGCATGCCAAGGCCAACAAAGACAAACCACCTCATGCTATGTCTAACGCCATGTCCCAGTGAATCTGGCAAGTCCCTCGTAATTGGACTCCGACAGAACTAGAGATCTGGTTCAATCCAATCGGGGTTCCAACTGAGGTGTCGTCCTCTTCCTCGGTGCAAGTGCCGTCAATGATGTGCCAGCAGTCACAAAGGGGTGCGATCCATGGAGGATAGGGTCCCCATGATCCACTCACTGAGGGACTAGAAACCACCCCTTTGTGACTCCTGGTGGTTGGACATGATGTGACTCTGTTTTTTTGCCAGCCACTTCCCGCCTACACCGCAGACTCTAACGATGCGAGCCCTCGGCGACTCGGCATTCCGATCTCCGTTGGGTGCGCACGCCTGCGCCGCAGTTGCCGTTTTGGGTGCACGGGGGCATCCGCCGGTGCCTGCCAACGCAAAGAGTTGGATCGATGGATAGAGTCCGGTGGAACCCCGACAGAAACGTGTTCCAATGGGACCGGAAGAGTGCGATCGGACTGATCATAAATGGTGTCTTTCTTTGTAAGATTAACGCTTCCAAACATGGAAGGTCTGGGAATATTACATGGTGATAGGGACTTACTTGTCCTTGTGATACGAAGGTTGCTACACATGATTCAAGACCGATGTTACATGGGCAATGATTGACATGGATGGCGAGCCATGAGATCGCACGAGTGGTTCCAGTTTTCCCTCCCCAAGTTGCTGACGTGGAGTTCTTCATGAGGCCCGAGGGCCTTATAAGCTGTCACAAATCGGTTGATTTTTCGCTAGAATCCGCTAGAACATGCCCCACACACTGCACGTATGGAAGGTGTGACTACACTGCCGAGTTGTGTCTGGGTGCTAGAATCTAGAACAGCCCCCCATTCATCCGCACAACTTTGCAAGTCTCTCAATCCATGAATGTCAATATCAATATCCATCAAACGAAGATACAGTAGTTCTAAAAACAACAACGGACTACTCCCGAATTACAAGAGGAAGCTCCAGAATGCTCCAGGTAAGTTTCCAGGACCTGTCAAAAAGGAACAGCATAGTAATTAAAGCAACATCTGTCCTCCTCATGAATGTGTACTGTAGCGACCAAAAGCAGAATAAAGTAGATAGTCTAGTACTGTACATCCCCTCTTTAAAATGCACTGAAACGAACGCCCGTGACGGTCTGCCCCTCTTTCCTGCCTGAAAAACCAGGCTAAACCCCGCTTGCGAGCCGTGCGGCCGTGCGTGGAGCCACAAAGAGCTCTGTTGGCGAGCGAAGGAGTTAAACGAAGATTATGATGGGTCAAAACCAGGGAGCCCTTCTTCGTCGATAATTGGAACCCCTCTATCGCCAACAATGGGTGCCCCATGTAGCGAAAAACCTTCCAGGTAGGTAGGTCCGCCAAGGTATCCTGGTGCCATGACCCACAGCCAAATGTTTGTTGCTTCTTGACTAAAGAAAAGTAAGCAACTACCCCCTGGATGATCAAACATATCCATATGGGCTGTTGATTTTAATCAATCCAGGAGCTGCTCAGAACATGTGTCCACGAGACTCTCGTGGATGGGTTAGACTCGATCAGTTCTCCATATTACTGTTCTTGTACACTTCCCGAGGCCTTGTAATTAGCTTGACTCTCCCAGTGGTCAGGGACATGCCCATCGCCACTTGGGGTCCATGTTTCAATTAACTGCTCACCAATGACCCACCCACCCATCCACGCTTCACCACCCCTGGCCGGCTCCCCCAAATAAAAGCGAGTGTTGCAAGCGTGCGGTGTGTGTGTGTGTGTGTGTGACACGTGTTTATAACACATTGGGTTGGAGAACAAAGTAACACCCAAATGCAGCTTTAAACCAAGGTGTGCGACAAACCTTTTTGGCAAAACAATCCGTGATGATGGACGGAATTGGTGACTGCACTTCCCGACCAACTACAAAACACAAGCATACACACACATTAGATCATGCTCCAGCCGCCGACCCCGCAAAAAAATCTGCGGCCCCGCACAAGCTCAATCCCTTCCGCGAATGAGCTTTGGCCCAATCGGGTCGTAAACGAACCGCCTGCAAAGGTAAACTTGCTCTTGGCCGGGGGCGAACGATCATGAAAGCAACGTGTCAAAGGAAACCCGCGAACATCAAATACTGCATCCGAATCCATCAAAGTGAAGTGTTCTCGACCTGTTAATATTGTAAATGTTGATATTGAATCCGAACACGCACGCACTCAAACAAACATCCAACATCATCCAACCTTTGAGATGAAGTGCCTTCTCTGCTTAGGAGTTTCTCACCTCTCTTTCCATCCCAAGTCCATCTTCACTCTCCACCCCATTCCCCACCCAACCACTGAACTCCACTCCCCACGCAGAACGTCGCCTCCTCAGCAGCCTGGAGCGCCGATTCGTGGCTGCCCTTCTTCGCATAGGCCGCGGCCAAGTTCGACTGGATCGTGGCGGCGAACTCCGCGTCGCCCGCCGCCTCCTGCGGAAGAAGTGAGCGAGGTGTTTTCCTCGATTTCCAGCGTCGCTTCATTGGATGAAATTGGGTGTTTGGTGGGTTCACCGGTGACCTTCTATAGGTGGATGAAGTGGTGGAGTTGCAGGTAAACAGTTATAGTTCCAGCTCCGGCGCCAGGAGATACAGTCCGTTTCCTGCTCGGGGAAAGTATGGAAAAGGTCAACTTTTTGCCGAGGACTCTATCCGGAAGGACACCCCAGGCATGGACCGCCAGAAGGTCAAACAGCCAAGCAGTTCAAATGGTGAAGCATGTACCAACCCGCTTCAGTGTGTAGATTACCAAACTGGGGTCCATCGTTCCAGGGATGACGCAATCAGGGAACACCGGGGAAACAACAAAAAACAACACCCATCCTTATGAGAACCTCCGAGACCTGGCCTCAAAATCCCAACTACCGGTGCCTGGTGAAAAACCGCGTGGGTGGAATCCGCCAGTCGCTAACCCTGGTGACGAGCCGTCTAGTTCAGGAGTGGGTTTCTTGGAAAGTCTTGGGCTCTTAGGGAAAATGGATGCCTTGCATGAATCAGTAAGATACACTTCCCGACACATCATGGAATCCGAGCAGAAAACTTGGCCCGTTGGATGACCTGTTTTCCCCTACGGGAAAACAGTGCTCCACTTCCAGGTTCTTTCCGGGAGTCTGCAACATTCCATATCACCTTCACAGAATCAGTGCGGCACGTTTCCTCAGAAACTGAAGGGTTCGAAGCAGAACATGTTCTCGGCAAACGGCAGTCTTTCCCTCCTGAAGCCATAGTCACTCTTGAGATCTTCGGAAAGAATACAGCCCCCTCAAGACTCTTGGCTCCAATGTCAAGTGGTTCTTAAGTCTTATGTAAAACAATGCTTAATATACCTGGACCAACCAAGGGGTGCCCAATGGAAGCCTATAGGTAGTGTGGGGTAGTCCATTGGACACCCCTTGGATGGTTCTGGTATATTCTGTGGGATTTGAGCCAGGAGCTCTGAGGAGGTATACAATAATATACTATACAAGAGCCAGATTCTCCACCGGTGCAGGAGGTCCACACTTTCTAAACAAACCAACCATCCGCAAAAAGCAGTCTGCAGTGCCAACAAACCACATCTGCATGATGGGATCCTTCACCTGTTCATTGGCCATACAGCACTTATGCCATTCTCCCCAAGTCTGGTGAGCATGATCTTGTGCCCCAGGTCTGCAGTTTTACTCGTCCATTGTCCCATCCGTGTCCACTTGGCGAAAGCTCCTGCAACGCTTCCTTGTAGCTGCTGATGGCTTGGTCAAGGCGCCCCTCCTGCGCCGTGGAGGACAGGCGTTCCGGTGGATGGAGAATGCTCGACCGACCAGCTCCCCGACTCGCGCTTGGAGCGACGAGAGTGCTCCTCCGATGTCCGCAAAGACTGGGATCCATGATTTAGGAGGTCTTTCCCACAGGGTTCCTAGTTCAAAGGTTTGAGTCCGGCCTATTGCCGGCCTGGAGTCTCTTTTTCACAACCAACGGCCTATCTCCCCGAGTCCGGACGGCCTTGGAACGGCTTCTGGAACGGCGAAACGCGTTTCGCTGGCACACATCTGTCGATGGTCGCTGCAGCACATCACTCCAGACCCTCCAACCGCGGTTGCTGACAAATACAAAGATAACATGACAAATACCAATGACCTCAGCAAGCACTGAATACGTGTCATGGGCACTTCGAAGATCCACTTCATGTATCTCTCCCTTCCCGGAAGGGCGAGGACCGCCCGGTCTGGCTGACCCCGGGCCGTCTTCCCGGGCGGTGTTCACTCCCATGCTGCGAACGATCGAGCTGCGAACGGGAGGAGCATGAGATGAACAGTGGCTAAGCGGCTATTCCTTATTCGCAAGAGTGTGTATGACTGACTCTTACATACTCTTGCGATTGGATGTAGGCGAAGAGTAGGTAAGTGGCTAAGCGGCTATCCCTGGATACAGTGCACCGTGTATGACTGACGGATATACATACTCGTAGGCGATTGGAATGGGACCGGCGAAGAGTAGGCAGATCTGCTCTTTGGGCTCTAGTTGGTATTGGTATTGGGCATCTTTTTGGGGAGTATGATATAAGTCACTACACGCAGGCGTGGGCTGAGGATTTGGCTCAGTATATGCTGCGTGATCCTTCCCAGCGGCTCACGGGAGAAGAATTCATCATCTCCCCGTCCAACCTAAAATGAAATCCATAAAATGGTGATGATGAATGAATCGGGCGAGGCCCCGTGTTCCACCATGACTCATGCATGATCACACAACACCACCAAGATGTGGTTCCTCTGGTTTCGAGCCTTGTGTTTTCATGTTTTTGAAAGACCCACCCCCATCCAGTACTTCTTGTCGTTCGCCCCATCCACCGCTTCTGTCAGCTCCCGTGTGGACGATCCAACGACCCGTGTGGTCCGGCTCGAGGGTGCGGCTCCTTAAAGTTCGCATCGCCCTGCTGCTTCTTGGGGCCTGCAGTGATCGACTGCGGGGTGCGCTGAAGCTCCACTGGAACGGATCCCGGTCAGGCGGGGTGAGTTACTCCAGCCTTTGAAAGCTGCAAGTGGCAAATTTGAGGGCAACATCGTGCAACTACATTTGCCACTTGAAACCCCAAGTGACATCTGACAAATTACCCATGATGATCCATGATGCTTGTTAAGCATCACACTCCTTAGGGCTGCTGTTGGGCCCCTTCTAGGACTCTGGTGCAAACCTCTCGGCCCAGCAGCTGGTCTTTGCCACAACCACTTGGAGATTCTCCGGCTTGCAGCGCACCTCGGCACTGGGTTCGGCCACCGAGTCTTGAACCCCTGGAGGTTCAGTGAGTGCTCCAATAGCATTTGCTGACTCGGCCGTCACACGGCATTCGGACCACCAGAACCTGCCATGGCAACAAGTTCATTGGAGTCGGGGGCAAGCTTGGTCACCGAAGCCCAGTGTAATGACTTTTATAGCCCCCCCAAATGGGATTGGAACACCTCTTCATTCATACTATCATAAGGGGTCTTTGTTAATCAAGCATGTACCTTCTGCTTGTTATTAATCCTTTGACCTGGAAATCTTCGCAATCCGGAAAAACTCGCCAGGCGCCAGGGTCTCATGGCTTCCTTCCGGTGACCCGTTCGATCTCTCCAACCCCAGCGACGCGCTCGTCTGCGGGGCCATCTAGCCGCACCTGGCGGGTCCACTTGAGGGAGCTAAGCCAAACACCAGGTATGGAATCTATCATAGATTGAGGAATACAAACATAGCGAAAGTCTATATATACTAATATATCACTTAATATATATATATATATTATAATATATATATATAACTATACATGATACTACATGTAGCTATTCATGTAAAAAATACATAAATGCCTTACCAAGCGCCCCAGCTGATTGGGAGTCATGTGAGTCCCAAACAGGTCGTGTCAAGGGTTGCTGATCCCAAGAGTCGAGTAAAGAGAAGGGGCTCAGAATGTGACGAAGGGATGACCGGGGTCTGTGCAATGCATATGCGAAACCACCAGCACAACAGCACGAGTACCAGCAAATCAGCAGTAGTACCCCTATGTACCAGTTGCTGCTAGCAGCAAAACAGCAAGCCTGCAGGAGCAAACCATGAGGTCTAGCAAAAGCATGAGGAGAAGCAAAAGAAGTCAGCCACAGTCACAGGATGAACATGAGTGTCAAAAGGCACGAAAAAGCGCATGAGGACGAGGGTGAAGATCAGAAACATCATGTCAAGGAGGAGCATGAGTAGAATGAAGTGCTTGAAGGTGACAATTCCGGCCAAGGCACCAGGGAGGAGGGACATTGGCACGTACCAGGAGGTAGTTGAACCCATGGAACACAAGAAGTAGACCTCTTCGAGTCGCATTGGATCATGGGAAGATATGGGAAGCTTCACTCCAAGGGGTGACACGACATGGGACGCTTCGCCAGACCTCCGAAGCAGAACCCCAGCCTCCCAGCGTCCAGCTGCGGCGTCCAAGGACAATGCTGTCGCACGCTTGCCGTTGAGCTCCGGCTTGCTCTTGAGGCCTTTGATCTCCACCTCGAGATGGGTCAACTCTCACGCGCCCCATCTCGAATGGGTCTCCGGGAAAAACACCTGCTCTTTGTCAAAAACGTCATCAGCTTCAAGCGTCTGCCAACGGCCCGGCATCGTCTCAAAGCTCGTCTCTTGCCCGTCTCTCACGTGCCTGGCATCCCACCACGATCTCCCCCGGTGGCGCTTCAGCGGCGGCTGGGACGGGCTCCGGCTCCTGGTGTTGCAGCGAGTGGGTGGACACAGCGTGGTGTTGCCTCTGGGGTTAGCTGGTTAGACCGAAGTTGCTCCAAAACCACCGTGGAGCAAAGGGACCTGGTACACTGGTACAACATGCTATAGGGCCACAGCTCTGAAAGCCAACCAAAATGCTGGGGCAAAGCAAAGCGAACGATCATCAGTTCTAAACTGCAAAGCCGTCGACTCAAACGGAAAGATGAACCGAGACGAGGAGACGCATCGGATATGCACTGGATCGGACGAGCTGTGCGTGCGCAGGTCCTTCGCTCGTCCGAGGTCGGCGGTGGTCATGGTGGTTGGTTTTTGGGCCTTTTCCAATTTGTCCGAAGCTGATTGGCCCCTGTTTTGGAGCCAAAACATGGTCTTGTCCTATCAGAACACAGGTCAAATGGGTTCTAGGATGTTCTAGGTATATATAAATGTTTCCAGCTGATCCTCGGCATGGGGCACGCTCATTCTATGACTCCTGGTAGGACAGTTGCAGGCCTATATGTTCAACAAAGTTTCAATGGCCCGGGGTGCATTTATCATGGCAAATAATTAAGTATGTTTTGCTAAGACTTCCCACAAAATGGCTTGATGATCAAATAATTTGAGTATGTGTCTATACAATATATACATATTATATTAGTTTACTAAATAGTTGTATAGCAACCTGTTGTTGGGTGTCTCGCATCCTTTGGGACCCTGGTTGGGGTTGATCTCAACCAATTCACAAATGTGACACACATAGTTTTGCTTCGTTCCTCTCATCAGCCAAGGTGCTCCCACTTGGGGGGCTCCACCCTGCACGCCCATCACCGTGCTCTGCTGCGCTTCACCACGCGGCAACGCCCTGCCTTGACCGGCTCGGGTGCAGCTGCTTCAGCCGCCTCCTCCTGGTCCGCAGCCCCAAGGTGGCTCGGCGTGTTCGTTTCGGTGGCTCGGGTGGCTCGTGAGGTGGACGACCGGAACCCTATCAGAACATGTTGTATGCGCGAACAAGGATGAGAAAACGATTATGCTTGGAGGAAAAAGGAGCCTCAGGTTAGGGGGTGTTCTTTACCACCCCGACTCCGTGGTCCCTTGTGCATGTGTTGGGGGAATTCTGCATTGGCCGCATGAATTCGGTTCAAGTCCCCAAGCATCCAAACGGTTCAAGCCTGACATGATCAGTGACAAACATTGATGACCTGGTCTTAGGATGTAAAGGGCCAAGGCATTACCAAGGCACATGAGGCTAGCTGAATGAGGAGGTGCAGTTGAAGAGCAAAGGAATTCCCTCCCAGTTGCTGAACATCTACACATGGGATTCTCATGGGTTCTCCATTCCTATTCAACCAAGGATGTCTCGGTAGAACCTGTGATTTCATCCTAAGTCTTTCTGGTAGGACATGGGCATGGGGAGCACGACAGTTGCTATTCCATGTTCTATATCAGGGGATTCTACAATTAGTTGATGGAATGCCGCTATGCTTGGTCTATCCTAATACCTGTAACAGTGGATGATGATGGTTAGTAAAGGCCTTGTTCAAAAATAGCAATATAATTGTTGACTGACTGCAGGACAAACCCTACCTCAACGCATAAGGCTTCTAAGTCGCTTACTTCTTGACCTAAGAGTATCTACACCTCCCATCTACCACATAGGCGATGGTGAGTGACCGACCTCCTCGTCGTCAAAGCTGACATCGCCCAACGGTGCCTCGCCACGTTCCCCGCGTCTGTCCCGCAAAAGGTGAGAAGGCCGAGCACCATCCATGGGACTGGAAATCGTTCGTGACCTACATCGCCTACGGCATTTTCATGGAGTAAGCAGGGGTGATAGGTATGCAATGTGAATGGAAGAAAGCAACTAGATGTAACCAGTCCAGTCCCATGGATGGCCGGAAGGGTCCACCAGGGCCGGCCACTGTGTACCAAACAGCCGTGGAGGATTTCACGAGGCTTGTGGCGTTCGCAGACTGCGGCAAAAAACATACCGGGCCAGCTTCTAGAAATCAAAGGTCGATACCAAATGGGATCCCCTATTTACCCACTTTCAATCGTTGTTCAACAGCACCTGGAATTTCATGACGTCATGCCTGGCAACAGTCATCGCATTGCTGAGAAACCCAATGAGAAACCAACCAGCTCTGGCTTTTGCGGGCGCCATCGCCAGCCCGGCCATTCGATCTTTCCCATGACAAATATCTGTAGGAACGACCATCTATGTGTGAAATCATCAAAGTTTCATTACGTATCATACAATATCAAAATATATTATGCATTTATTATCATTCCATCCACCGCGAAAGGGGCAAAAGAAGCGTCTTGGGTCCGGTGGCATTGCTGGCTTCAGTCCGATGATCCTCTTCAACACGTTTCACCTGAGCCATGCAGGAAGACCTTGACCTTGGGTATATCCGATGAGCAGAAGCAGCGGATGATACTGATGGTTGGGTCTTCCTTTTTCGTTCCAATAGTGAACTTTCTTTTTTCACCGACGTTTGCTGCACCCCAAGCACTGGAACTGCTAGTGGTTGAGCATGGATGTTTATCCTTTTGCATGTGGATCTTGGATCTGATCTTCTGCATATTGAAATGGAGTCCTACATCAGTTGCAGTAGGTTGCGATATCGCTGAGCAGCATCCCACCACCCACATGTTTTTCACATCCACTCCACCCATCACATGATACATCAACTCCTCCCGAAGCGACCCAACACATCGATAGCCGTTCTATGTTGCATGGGTTGGAACCTGTACTTGAGTGTAGGCACGGCTATCACATCGAAGCGAACGGCTCCGTAGCGAAAGGCTCCCTGACTCCAACGCGCTGCCATGCAGGATCTTCAGCATGAGCATGCTCAGTCGCTCCCTCCGACCCTGGACCCAGTCACTGGGCTACCTTCCTCCGTAGAGATCTGGTCATCCACTTCGTCCTCCACTTTGGTGTCCACCGCAGGCGCAGGTGCGGGTGCAGGTGTGGGCACAGGTGTGGATGCGGTAGGATCGGGCTTCCTTGGTGCGAACGAATTGACCCTGTTTGTTCGCCATGTGGTTCACCCAAACCCTCTCTTTGGGTGCGGCCAGGCATCTGGCTTAAGACCACCATCGGCTTATCCTTGACCTTCAAGCTCACCTTGGGCGCTGGAGTCAGCGTTGGATTGGGAAGATTCAGCCATTGCCATATGCCATAGTTTGCTTTCCATGTCATTCCTACAAATCTCTGATTTAGGGTTTTGGATGGTTTAGGGATGTTTAGGACTGAATACATGGGGTCCAGAAAGTGAGTCAACATGTTCTTGCGTGACCAAGTGCCCATCTGCCCCACTCTGGAGAGAAAGTCTCCTCTGACCCACTCAGGCTGGAGACCGATTCAGCTTGTTGCGAAGCAAGCAGCTCTCCGCCGAGTTCCAAGATCAAACCAAGCTGCTAAGAATGTCCAAACTTCGGACCAATAGTGACCAAAGGTTCATATGGTTTGTTGTTGTTTTTTTTATGTTTTTTTTTTTAATCCTTTGATGATTTCCATAAGTTTGAAGTTTGGTCGTGGAGTCGTGGCGTGATTTGGAACACATGCACCGATTTCAGGGCGTGGCCCGTGTGGGAATGAAGTAAACCATACCAAACGGATCCTCTCTGGAGGGGCGTGGGCCTGGGTGTCTCGGAGCCTGGGCCCCACTGGATGTCTTTGGACTTGGAGATTGCTGCATAGAGCCATCAATGAGCCAACATAGTCTATTGCATTCTATTGTCAAGGAAAACATGGGCCTCCCTAGTTTTTCTGGGCGGGGCATCCAAAGGCTTTGCCCTACAGCGAAGGAGTCCAAATACAGGTCCATGCTTCATCAAATGAGCAGGGTCAAGAGGTTTTGGAATGTCTTGAACTTCTGTCGGAGTATTCTCCCGCTGTTTGGAACCCATATTAGCGTGGACATCAGAACCCATGCGGTTCGGCGCCAGACCATGGATGGAATCCTTCCTGACCTTGTCCGTCCTGTTGCTGCGCCAAGCGGCCCATCCGGTGAGCGGCCCGGTGCCCTGCAGCCGTGTGTAGCGAAGCCGTTCGCCCTGCAGCTCCTCCTGGCGGATCAGCGCGCCAGTGGACAGGCGGCTGGACTCTTCGGGGGACGAGAGCTCACGGCCAGCTCGCACCAGGATCCCACCTGAGTGAGGCAGATGCTGCGAGCATGCTGCGAAGGTGGGAAGGACGGAGGGTGCGGCTGGTTCTGCCTGTTTTGAGCCTGGCTGCCCCCACCATTTGTGTTTGAACATGACGAACTCCGGGGCCGGAGTTATTTTTAACTGGACACACTAGTCACTGAACTTCCACCTGACGAGAAGCAGCGTCTATTGAAAAAGGCTGCGCAACACGTGCATTCCACATCGCCTGCCAGTTCGACTTGGATTTGCTGCCCCGGAATGGCCCGGAAGTAAGCAGGGAGAATCAAACCATATGTCCCAACTAAGACCCCCTCACCCGATCCGCCAAAAGACCAGGTCCAAGGCCCAGCGCCGTGTTTTTTTCTCCAAGCCGCCCTTGTCCACGCCACCCACGACTTCCCAGATTGGTGCCATGGCGCGCGGAACTCTGGCGAGTCGTAGCAAAAGAGGCGACTCGTCTCGGAGTCGCCGGAAAACTGAAAATTGTGGGGGGGAGGTGTCAAGCGGGACACATCATAGGACGTGACACTCCAAACTGACCATGACACATCATGAAACCGTGGAAAACATTTGTCATGGAAGTCGAGTAGGACATAACCATAGCTATTCATTCAAAAGAATCTAGACCTGCATGTCTCTGAAACGTTAAACAACTTGGGCATGCTATCAACATTCACGTGTTCGAAGGCATTCCCTGTTTCCAAAAGATCACGTAGGTTGCAAAAACATGAACCGTCCATAGAAGATCGGTGGTTGCCCTGTTCTGGTCAAACTTGTTAGGTTGAGTGGGTCTTGGGTCTGCTGGTCCACTTATGTCTTTAATGCCAAAAGCGCAACAGCACGAAGTTACCCTTCCAAAAGGATCCAAAAGGCAAACAATAAAGGCTTACACATTTTTCCGTGTACCTGTCCACAAGCTCTGCCTCAAGAACGCTCGGGTACCTGCCTTGTGTTCAGTTCTCTGTCTCTCCCAAGCCAATGCTTCCAGGAATCAGGCGATCCAATCTAAACCAACTCTGACGAATATTGGAGAACCATTATACATATTATAATATAATATACTACATTGCAGCAAATGACTTTGAAGCATGAGCATCAAAACAACACCTGCAAACCCAAGCTATGATAACTGCAAAACATGTCCCATTTCCTGATCACTCGCCGTCTCACAATCTTGGTGCCGGCAACACGTCACCGCTTTCACCTCTCTTTCAGTTTAGAGGGGGATCGGAGTGGTGCATCCCCCCCAAAACCTTGACTAAAGACATTACTTCCTATGCAATCAATGGAACCCCAAACCTACGAATTGGTCGTGCCTGACAGTGCCTGATGGAAAACATCGTGTTTTGGCTCCACTTGACGAAACACTGGTTCTCTATGTAAAGGATGTAAAGGATAGACCAGCACTTCACCCACAAAGCGAGTTCCCAAAAGTCGCCTTTTCTCCACCGCCGACTTTGGGCGGACAAATCACCACTTTGTGGTGACGGGGCGTGAGAAAGGACGAGAGGTAGCTCCACCAGCAGGCCGTTGTCACATAAAAGTGTATCCATATAAATCCATCTGACGAGATTGACCCCACTTGAGGTCCGACAACCTGCAACTGTAACCGGTCAAACAAAGCACACTGGCATCGTTTGACAAATAACCTCATGAACTCATTGCCTCTTCCCTACACCACTGGGATTTCATTCGACAGCCCTGCACTGGCTCCTCTCTACCTGTCACCCTGTCTCTTCACACGCGGCTGGTGGCACCACCACCGCTGGCGCCGCTACTGGCGCCGCTCCGCTGTCCCGTGGGCGAAGCAGAACTGCTGGACGAGCTGCTAGAGGAGCCTTGGAGGGTCGCTGGGTGAAAAGCGGAGGGGAGGAGCCCAATACTTTTGCGGCTCCACACATTTGTGGCTAGTGCTGGTGTCCAGTCAAAGGAGTCACCCCCAATAAACCGCTTCAAAACCCTCGTCGGCCCAAGTCTCCAGGCCGTTTCTTCAAAACAGTCCCCGAAGAAACGAGAGAAAGATGCGGAGATATACCAATCCGCTCGGCAGGCCCGGTGAGGCCCTATAAGATGCTCTTTTTTCCTTGTTTGATCATCATGTGTTTCAAATTCTGGAACGTTCAGTTCCCTTCTGGCTCATGCCCGGAAACTCCCCACAAGATGCAAAGCCTCCATACGGTCCCAATTTATCAATTTATCAAAATATTGGATACTTGCGGTCTTCCCATGGCTGGCGTGAATGGCATGAAATCCCACTGCTGTGGTCAACAACTGATATTCTATAACACGCCATGCCGTATGACAACCTTTTCAAAGCAATTGAAAACATTTCATTTCTCAAAATCACTATACCGACAAAAGTCCACAACATTTGCAGCATCATCAAACGTTATTCTCAAACAAAAACATCAAACAGAATCAACAAGATATACTCGGGGAAGCTGCCCCTTTCCTAAGGTCCGATCAAGGGCACAACCATAGAGTTCTCAGCAGTATATCTTTGAAACCAAGTGAGTCAAGTGGAAGAATCATAGTTGGAATGACACTGAAGCCTTTGTATATAAATCCTCTATCATAAACTTTTCCCCTACCATGAAGTCCCCAAGTCCCCAAAATGAGAACTTAACTGTTTAACCGCAGTCCAGTTCCAAAGCCCAAAAACTTTATAATATATATTTTTATATATGTGTGTGTGTGCCTACATTGCTCCCAGGTCAAACCCCCAAATGGTGGTATATGTCATACATGGAGTGTCTGGGAATTTCACCGATCACCACTTCGCCAACATCTCACTCCTGTTTGGTCGCCGGCTACGCGGCGACACGTCTGGGTCGCCCTGGCTAGTGTCACTTACTGAGCGCACACTCCTGCGACCAACCCGGTGGAAGGAAATCGCATGAATTACCAGCAGGTTCGTCAGTCCAAAAAAAAACAGGCTTAAACATGTTTAAACCATGTGCAAACAGTTGAAGCCAACAAAAACTAGATGCACCGCAAGGACGAACCTCCAAACAGGGAACCATGTATACGGTTCCCAGCAAGGACGAACAAGCACAGAAAACCTCCCAGCTTCCAGCAGCATCCGAAAGCTCTAATGGACTGAGAGGCACTGATTCAACGACACGCCCGTGTGCAGCGCTACACGCCCTGTTCGCGGGTGGTTTCACTTCAAAAAATGAGTCAGGGTTGGGGTTCAATCATCCCAATAGATCAGCTTTGAATACAAACAATATCCGAAATCACCACGCAGAGTCGCTACATGCATGTAATGCTCCGATAAACTCACTGGAACGAACGAACCATATGGTTACGTCGTCTGTCAGCCGCCCCGAACGGATGACCCTTTTAGACCAAGCAGGTGGCGCCATCCCCGTGCCATCCACTTCCATGATGTAACTGTATTTAATATTAGTTCAAATGGAACGCGTTTTTCCGTACTGGTGATGTTCTGCAAACTCGCCGTGTAAAACATGGTCTCACCCTCCACTGCCTCCTCCTCGGCAGGCCCGGCAGCAGCTCGGCGACTGAACGGTTGGCGGTTGGGCGAGTTGGCCTCCAGCTGGAGGTGATCGAGCCGGGTGCTGATGTGTTAAACCATAGGACATATAGGGAATTCATAGGGAGACTACCGTGCTTGCCAAACTCGGGTCTTGTTTTTCTGATCTTGCCGTTCTCGCATTCGTCAAAGGGAGCATGGGATGCACACCCTCGTTACAGAAAGGTGCCAGGAACAAAAGGGCCTAAAACTGGCCCTTACAGACTCCAGCATCATCCAGTTGGAAAAGCATGTGAGGTCTGAGCTTGTAGGGATTATGTTTAGTTTCTTGCATGTCTCCATGGCCTTCGGCTGCAGAAAACAAGCCGGTTCCGAAAATAAAAATAAAAAAAACACACCCGAGGTTCCCCGGAGGTACACCGGCGTGGTGCGGTCCAACAGAAACTCCATGGGTTCATGGGCCTCCAGTCGTACCTTCTGAGAAGGTGGGACTGGGGTGGGTGCCAGGAGGGTCTAAACACCTGAGGAGGCACGACTGGAGGTGTAGGGTTTATGTTCTGGAAGAGCAAAATATATTTAATTACATCTTGTGAAGCAGGATAAGCATGCATTATATTTGCATGAGTATCGGTGCACATGAACTATTGCATATAATTGCCTTGAATTGATTTGTGAAACCCATAGATGATCTGGGTTGGACGGTCTGGAGTCACCAGCCACAGTGGAGGGGTTGCCAACTCACTGGCGAGCGATATTTTCAGGGGGGACCAGCGAAGGAAGGGAAAGGGGTTGACAAAAACAGCCCAACATGAAGTTGAAAACTCTTTTTGAATAGGACCGTAGGTGAGTTCAGAAAAGGACATGGCCCTTCCACCGGACCAATTGTAATGAATTCACGCAACGATTTTCTTCAAAAGGGTCTTCTTCCCCCATTCGTTTGCTCACGAGACGTTGGCCTAGTCTCTATAGCCAAAAAATCGACACCGACTCACCCAAACTGACACAAAACCTAGCGCTTCCTGTCGGGGTGCCGTCGATCTGTTGACGTCGTGTGGAGATAGCCAGCCAGGTGACCCCGAACAGAAGCAGCTGGCAGAATGTGTTCTAAAGGCGCTCTGCTTCGTTTGGGTGCGCGTGCTTGTGTCCTCAAAGCGCCCTCTCCCCCGAACGGTCGCTGAAGACGACGCTGAAGAGCGGCGCAGCGGGGTCTGAGGTCCCTCTCATGGCAGGGCCATCTTCCAAGCAGCTCAATTCTTGCGCCATGGCCTGCACTGGCATCGTTTGGTGAGCACCCAGTATCCACGAGATGAGCTTCGGCAATGGCATGAAGATTGTGGAGGCAGGATGCTACTCAGGATTCTATCTTGGCATACCTTGGTCAATACAGTTATACATAAAACCGCTGGAGGCCATGCTGTGCCATGCTGTGCGTGTCGCTTCCGTGACACCACCACCCACACCACCCACCGCCCAAAGACCCACCGGCAAAGGAAGCTATCCCTGCTCTTGCCCCCGCCTCCCACTTGTCGGCTTGTGCCACACCTCAGCCGAAGAACTGGTGGATGCGCGACACCACAAGATAATTATGCTAAAGAAACGCGAAGAAACTGCTCTCTCCCTCTCTCTCTCTCTCATCCATCCATCCATCCATCCATCCCATCCCATCCCATCCCATCCATCGATTTACATGGACTGGACTCTATCTATCCATCCCCCCATCTATCCATTTAACTCTAACCCCCAATAGGATCGGATGAACCTCCGCCGCGCCTCGCTCCGGGCCACTCGCGCGGGGTCCGGCTCCTCCGAGACGTCGCTCGCCTTGACACCACAACTGTTTGATGACCAAGACTGGAATTCGGATGGATTCCGCACCATGTCCAGTGTTGGAATTCGATCTCTATACTCCTCCGACACAATCTCAAAAACACGCCTCCTTCTTTGATGGTTCTTGCGTCTCTGATACATGCTTCTTGGCTTTTGGCCATGCCGCGAAACGCCCTTTGGCCGCCCATGTCTCCCTCAAAGCTTCGCCGTCGCCTGAGGAATCGCTGAGCACCTGAACGGCTCGAGGCTCGGGGGAGGAGTGCATCGGGACGTGGAGGTCATGCGAGGAGCGCACAAGGTGGGCGGAGGCCATTTGTTTTAGTTGCTTCAGGGCATGAATGGTATGGTGACAATGTGTGTGTGTGTGGTTGTTGCCACAGGGCGCATGTCTATCCAACAAGCAGCCTGCCCCGGCTTTTTGGTGTAAGTTCAGGCGAACAAAAACGGCCCCTAAATTACATCGTCAAGAACACATATTATAAATATTATAATGATTAACATACCCAAACACTCCATGGGACTGCCATATATGCCGATCAGTTGGGGTGGTGCCAGGGGGGTCAATGTCGGCATGTTATGACACGCATGGACTGTCTGGGATATATATATATATATATGTACTATATATAGTATATATATATATCAACATGATATATATATATATATATCAACATGATTCATGATGCATCCGGATGGATTACCAGACCACAGGCCGCCCGGGACACGTCGTGCATGAGAAAGATCGAACCTGGACCGCGTGGCTCCTGCCAAAGTGCGTTGTTATGTTGTTATATCCACGATTGGCATCGATTGGCCTTATTCCAAAGACTCCATTCGACTGGAACCATTTCCCCACATGGACCGCTGACACCACCCAAATGCAGGTAAATATGCCAGTCCCATGGCACCGTTTTGTGATCACGTTGCTTAGCTGCGCACCGTATGCCAGACGTGGTTTTTGCTTGCCTGCTACACTTTCATTAAAGTACTGTAGCAAGTCCACCGCCACTGTAGGCGTGAGAAAAAACGTCCCAAATCACCGCACTGCCACCGTCCCAAACCCTCGTAGTAGGATCCATGAAGTGGTTGTAAGATGTTGTAAGAGTTGTAAGATGTTGCAATGAGGTTTGAACTTCACGAAGCGCAACTTGTGTCTTGCCAGTGTAGATTTGACCATGTTTGAACCAATTTTTGTGGACCATGCGTCCCACGGTGCTGCCATTAGAGCCCTCCCTACTAATTGTCTGCTCTTTATGTTATGCTGCTCGTACTAGACACTGCTCCCCGCACAAAGCATTCCGAACAAACGCTTTCACCAATAACACTTGCCGCTGTCGGGCACAAACATCAAACACAAGATTACACAAGTATGGCCAGCATAGAGCCTTGCAGGGTGTAGTTGTTTTGAGGTCCGGCTGACTCTGTGTTAATTACAGTAGGTCCTTTGACCTCTCAGTTGGCCATGAGGGAGACCTATGGGCCATGGGGGGGGAAAATCTAACGCAGACCCAATCATCCGGCCTCATTTGGCTCCCTCCTCACTGTCTGCCTTCGCCCGAAAACACCTCATCCAAAGCAAAAGGAAAGGTTGGGTACCAGGCGGGATGCATGAGGGGCACCTGGCGGGCTCCTGCTCACTATCCAAAACCTGGTTTGGGTTTAGTGCTATAGACAAGACCATGCTCAACCTTTGCCAAGAGCTTTCCTTCCACCTGGTTTTGCCTGAGGTTCGGCCCGAAGTCCCGATGCTTCTTTACTGCCGACTCAACTGAAGCCGGCATCTTTGTTCCATCAACATGTTGCGATGACGCAATGGATCTGCACATGGAAGCTCTTGGCACCACACACACATCGGTCGCTTGCACGGTCCACCGCCGCAACGGAGCCCAAGCCGAACGAAGCCCAAGCCGCTGGCGCGGAAGCTCTCTTTTCCTGCACCGAGCTGCGCATGCTGGCCCAGCAAAAGCTGCGCATGCACCAGCAAGTGGCGGTAGATGGCGGTAGGCTGAAATTGTCTGGCTCACAAGGAAGATCATCGTCGCTCTAGGCCGCCGTCAATCAGTCCAGCCAAAGCATGCCAAAGCAAAGCCTCTCGCTGACATATGCAATAATAGTATATACTTAGCGCACGTCTTGTGCAAAATATGTCAAAATGGTTCCATCATCAAAGTGCCAATCTGCTGATTCGATGTCTTGCGGAATCAGGCTGTGAAGGTCAGCAGGAGCTATCTAAGACAGGTCGGTTGATCTCGTCGTCGGCCGAAGTGGCTCGACCTCGTGGGAGCTGCGATGTGAATCATTGTACGACCTCGACCTGTTGCAACAGGTAAAACATACCACCAACGGTGCGCATATATGATCACAACGTCTCACAAAAACATGGCATAACAACCAAACGTGGCAGATTCTGAATGCAAAACGGTCTCACCAAAACGGTCTCCACACGTGACACGCAGCGAGTCTTTGTCCGTCGACCGCAGCGGTCATGTTCGACTCTCTGAGTCTTGCGGCTCCAAGGCCGCCCGGAGCTCTGCCGTCGGAGCTTCTACAGTCTCCAGGTTGCTCCTCTTGGTTCATCAAGAACTAACTCCCACAAACTCAACATCTAGTGCCCAAAGGCTCAGAAAGGACCCTCAGTTCTGTTTTGAATCTCACAACTACCTAGGGTGAAATGGAGCCTTCACCAACATGTAGCAGTTGGGTCCATGAGTCCAGTCATCCCAGGTTCTGGCACCCGACTCGCCAACCAACCCCCCACCAACCCGAGTCAGCCAATCCTGGGAGTCACTGGGAGGTTCCAGCGGTTTTGGGGGATAGTCTGAGATCGGACGGGTAATGATGTACACTGTACACGTTGCAGTGATGGATTCTAGGTGGCCCTTGGCAATTCATGCATGATACTTGTTGCTTCTTGTGGGTGCCTGCCCCCCAAATGCAAAGATCACTTGGCATTCACCCAAACACCCCACTCTGAAACTGCCCAACATCTTCTTTTTCAGGTTGAGGCATGCTTTTGAGAATTGGAAGTCTGATGGAATCATCTGGGATGCCGATCCGTGCACGTCCCAATCAATATCAAGCGTCTGCGATCGCATCAGTCACATTCAGTCACCCCTCTCCATGCTCGCCGCGCGTGGGGCGAGATCAATAGTTGCCCCTCCCAATTGCTGCTGCAAGGAGTAGAGATCTCCCAAGACCCAAATGTCTCCGAGCTGAGCTCCTGGAGCTGTGGAATTCATCCACGCCAAAGGGGTAACAATAGCAGTTTGAGAACCATGTGCGGCTCCCTCATGCGCCCCCCCCACATGCGAGTCTACCCCAACTGGGGCAAACTGGAAACAGTGGAGACCGTTCTCGAGCACCTGCGGACTGCCTCCGGAATGGAATTTGGGTTGCTGTCAATCGATGTATTATGACCCACCACACGAGTGGGTTTAATGTTAACATGTCATTTATGAACCATGAAGCAATAATTATCAGCTTTTTGGCCTGCCAGGATTTTGCAATACAGTACTACTTTTAACTGCGCCATGTTTGTAGCCAAGATTATTTTAAGGTCTCCTATCTTCTTCTTCTTTTTCTTTCTTTTGTGGAAGCTTTAGTATTAATCTTTGCCCATCAAATGTCCAAAAACATTGGCTGGCCAAAAGCTCTAGGTTTCCTTATTAAAACCCTATCAAACGAATACAAAACATATATTCAAAGGTTCCCCTTTAGACTCCCACCCTCTGCAATT